TTTCAGCCCCGTTAAACTTTGAACATTAGCTTTGCAGAACGCTACAACGCAACTTTTTTTTTATTGAACATTTGTGCACAATCGTCCTCACGGGGGGTCGCGGGCGTGCAGGAGCCTATCGCAGCCGTTTTCGGGCACGAGGCGGGGGACACCCTCAACTGGTCGTGTGTCTTTGAAATCCAGTCACTGCATTGTTAATGTCCAAAGTGCATCAGGTTACTGTGGTTTGCAACAAGATTTCAGACCTGCCCTGCTTTTGACAAATACTGCACTCCTGTATTTCAAGATCAGTAATCGCGGTGGTACGTGGAGAGCGAAGAATTGATTTCAGTGATTTTGGTGTAAAACGTTTGCCATGAGCTGCGCCATACAGAAATACAATCTTTAAAAAAAAAAAAATAAAAACATTTTTTCCCCCCAATAAATACAACATTGACCATCATTCATCCTCTTGGAATTGTACTGATTGCCCCCCCCCCCTCCTCTCCATGTGCAGGATTTCACCGAGCTGACCACCTCGAGTGCCTCGTTCGTCCCCACGGTGACGGCCATCTCCAGCAGCCCCGACCTGCAGTGGCTGGTGCAGCCGCTCATCTCCTCGGTGGCCCCCTCGCACCGGGCGCACCCCTTCGCCTCCAGGCCCAGCCCCGCCTACCCCAGGGGCGCCGTGAAGATGTCGGCGTCACGCCCGCACAGCACCACCAAGAGAGGCCGGATGGAACAGGTGAATTTTTCATTCTTCATGTTTTCAAATGAAAAAGATGTCAGCTCTTCCTTGTCACGGGACACCTGAGTCACCATCTTTCTTTCTTTCTTTCTCTCTTTTTCAGATTTCACCCGAAGAGGAAGCAAAGAGGAAAATTCGCCGGGAGAGAAACAAGCAGGCGGCCGCCAAATGCCGCAACAGGAGGCGGGAGCTGACCGACACTCTCCAAGCTGTAAGTATCTTCTTCCTCATTTGCAGCTCGGGTGGTCCCTTGACTTTAGTTTCCAAGAGGCTTTTCCTCGGGAGGGGCAACTTTGTTCCCCTCACCCCCAAGTTTCAAGTCAACTTTCTTCGTATAGCACTTGGATTCAATTTGAAAAGCCAAGGTCCCGCTCGGACTTCCGAGAGTGGCAACTTCCCATCAACGGTGCCCTCGTTTTGTCTTCTCAGGAAACCGATCAGCTGGAGGATGAGAAGTCCAGCCTTCAGAACGACATCGCCAACCTCCTGAAGGAGAAGGAGCGTCTGGAGTTCATCCTGGCCGCCCACCAGCCAATTTGCAAAGTCCCCGCCGAGCTGGACTCGGACTTCTCGCCGGTCCGCTCGTGCGCCTCGGCCGAGCCCGCCGTCTCCGCCCCCAGCTCGCTCTTCGCCGCCGACTCCGGCGGCGCGGTCAGACTGAGCGACTTGGATGCCTCCGTGCTGGAGGAGTCCCTGGACCTGCTGAGCAAGACGGAGGTGGAGCGCTCGGTGCCCGAGGTGGACCTGTCGGCCTCGCTGTGCGGCGCTCAGGACTGGGAGCAGCTGCACCCGTCGGTGACCAGCGGCGACTTTGAGCCGCCGCTGTGCACGCCGGTGGTCACGTGCACCCCCGCGGCCACCGCCTTCACCTCGTCCTTCGTGTTCACCTTCCCCGAGAGCGACGCCTTCCCCGGCTGCGGCGTGGCCCACAGGCGGGGGAGCAGCGGCAACGAGCAGTCGTCCGACTCGCTGCACTCGCCCACGCTGCTGGCCCTTTAAGACACTTCAAGACCCCTCGCGGGATGGTGACTGAAAAGCCTCCAGCCCGTCCGTCCCCAACCTGACTTCCAAAAGAGCACACCATCGATCTCCATGTAGGAGCTGACAGGGCTTACGGACAGTCGTTTTGGAATCGACCTGCCTTTTTACCTTGTAGCATGTTTCAACTATGACAACCAGTTTGATTTTGTTTTGAAAGGTGCTACTTAACCGAGAGTCGTCATCGTAGTGTTTCTTCTGTCCACTTTGAGGAGCCATAGTTTCCTGGTCGAGTGAATGTGAGGGACACAAAAAACAAAACCCTGACATCTTGAACCATTGTCCCGGGTGGTCTGTCCTGAACTTGATCATGCGTATGAAAGTTTTCTGTGAAAACAACACAAGTCGTATTTCTTTTTTTTTCTTAATTTATGAGATTTTAACTTTATTTTTTTACAACAGAAGCGAACAAAACGGGTCAATGTGAATGTTTGTGATGTGTATGTGTGTATATATAGATGGAAATAAAGCATTAGCATTGTTTAAATTGACACTTGGGCCCGGTGGTGTTTGTACTCTCCAATACGCTATCTACTCACATGGGAGTTTATTGGCTACTGCTTCTCTCGTCTTTGGGAGCGCAGAGTCGTGGATCAAGTCCCGCTCCGGACTGTTGTTGGAGAAATGCTCGTCTGCTTCCTGACTATTCTCGAGGTTCCCTTCCCTGAGCTCGCTGGTCTGCATGCCATGCTTGGTTGTGATCTGAAGAATTTTGAATGTGGAATAATGAGGTCAACCCAAGAGCCGTATCCTCCAATGATGGAAGACACTTATCAGAAAGGTGTTTTATTCTTTTTCCATTTCTTATCATTTCGCAAATAGGTTATTTGTAGTTTTGAAAGTTCTTCATTTTGACACGTGATTTATCACTTTCAAAGAATTGACCTTTTTTTAATGACCGTTTATATGTTTGTATTTTTAATTCATATTGATTGGAGACATATTTTGAAAAATCTAAAACGTTGACATTCAACTTTTCGGCTATTTAGTATTTGTTTTTCATTTCTCAATGTATTAGTGTCGTTATTTTTTGTTTGAAGTCCTTTTTGTAGTTTCTCTTTTTTATCATTTACGTTTTCGGGTTCGAAAAAGACCGTTTAAATGTCTGCTATATCGACAGTTTAAAAAAAGAAAATGTTCGCTAAAAGACGATGAAAACGTTTAGTGGAATCTTCGAGTATTTTTTTCACGTTCTTTCTGTCGCCGACGTCAACTGTGCCACAAGTCACACAACTCTCACGTCAGCATTTTTTTTTTCTGCTCGCACGCTGAGCGCGTCGAGATGACGTCACCTTCCGTGACCAAATGGGGACTTCGAACGAGCTGGTTGGAACTAGCTTCGAAAACACGCCAGCCGCGGCCTCCGAAGGCTTTCCAACGCGACGGTTTCGAGCTTCGCTTCACCGATGAGGTCCATTTTCGTCGAGTTTCGAATGGGAATTGAACTAATGGTAACAATTGATCGTAGTTTAGGGGGGGAAACGCGGTAGGTTCGCGCTCGGTTATTATGCAACAGAGAGGATCCGAAAGCGTCTCCTTGCGGTCCAAATATCCCGCGGTGTACCAAAGGTTGCTCGCGAATGCAAAGAAACGCACGCTGTTTATACCCCGTGCGTCCATCCAGCTGGGGAGACGTGTTCAAAATAAATGGGACTTTTGGCCGTTCCAAGCGTTGACCTACATTTGCAACGGAAATTCTCATAAGTGTTTTGTGAGCGACAGCCTTTGTCAAGGTTATCTCGGCTGTCAGATTATTATTATTATTATTATTTTTTATTGTGTCCAATCACATTTCATGGCCCATGTGTTGCCAGGTCAATCTAATGTGCCCGTGACCTTTCCAGTTGCTGGCTCATGTCATTTTTAAAATTAAACTAAAAAGATTCAACATGATACAGGCAAAAGATGGAGAATTATGTAGTAGTCACTTGTGGAGATACTCTAAAGCGTGAAATTTTTTTTTTTCGCCATTTTAGTATTTCTGATTTTTTTTATGTTTTTTGGAGGGGGGGGTCGTTTGACTAAAATAGGGCCTGGTGATGCACCTGAACAACTTTTATTCGCATCAATAGTCACATTTTAGGCGTGCACTGCATATGCACTGAGTTGAGTGCAGTTAGCTCGCTAGCTAGCTAGCGATGCCTACAGCGGAAATGGAACCTCACCTCTGGATAAAGATGTGGCCTATGAATGAGAAGGCAGAAGAGTGGGGGTAAGTCATTTTTGAAAACTCCTACATGACAGTCAGGATGATGTTAGACCAAAAAGCATTTCCCCAGGTTGTGGTGGTGATATTTGATGGGCAGTTCACTGCTGCTTGGGGGGGGGGGGGGGGCGGCCGGGGGAGGCGGACTTGGGTCTGGAGGCGCATTCATCGGTCACGCCCCCACAGCGTTCAGCAGGAAAGACGACAACTTGATTTAGCGTTCCCTGGTGAGTATGAGGTTGTTTTTTTTTTGTCATGCTGTTAGATCTGTAAATTAATTAGCATAATTCATAAATGATGAATATTAAATGTGAGCCGCTCCATATGACGTCGTTTTCAAATGTATTGATGGTTTACTTTTGCGATGTAATATTAAGAAGTCAAAGTCAGGTATGTCCAGTTGATTTGATTTTTTTTTTTTTCATTTTTATATATCTTGTTTTTCCACTTTTATCCCCAAATATATCAAACATAATTTATTTCTATTCTGCTGTTTTTCCCCCATTCTTAAATATGTTTTCTTGAGGTTTAAACTTTAAAAGGGTTTAAACTTGATGCTCATGCATCAGCGCTGAGGATTTTCTTTCATACACAGTCAAATATTTAAGTACGGAGAATGTACATTGGCAACATTTAAACACACAACAGAAATCTGTAAAAAAAAAAAAAAAACATTTTTGACACACTCGAAGAAAAGAAGTGATTTTAAAAGTGATTATAAGAACTTAAAAGATTTGGTTTACAGTCAACTTCACCTGATTGACGTCTAAATGGCTTGAGGCAAGCACACCGGGCCTCTCATTTGGAGAATTGTGGCAGCGAGAATGGGAACATGCAGATAAATGTCTAGTACAGCAATAGCGTGTGCAAATGACGCAACGCGTCATGCACGCCACCCTTCCTGTCTGCATGATTAGCATTTATTCACTCATTCATTCCAGCTTTTTTCTTTTTTTGGGGGGGGGGGCAATATAAGGCGGCT